AAGCAAGGTTTCCTTTGCAAGTCAAGTGATGATTAGAAAGTGTTTCGAAGCACAAAACGTCTGGATAATGAAATAATGTGGCTAATTAGGTGATGGCCTGAAACAAACAAATTACCACAAAATACACCTTCTTCTCCATGGAATAGTTACACAAGTCACACCACCTTCAGTTACAAAAACGATTATGTCATCCTCAAAAGGAAACTATGTAGAGACGAAAGGACTTTGTTTGGTCACAGGTTCAAGAACGACCCCACGTGCTGAAACTCGGGTAGCCACAACCATGCTCTCCCAGGTCTTAGAATCCCTCGTTTTTAAAGGCAAAACCACGAGAAGGAAGAGAGGAGGGAGAAGGATTTTACTAATTGTTTTGGGACAATTACCCTTGGCTACCAGGATCGGTAATAAAGGTGGCGGGACCAGCAGTTAGAGTAATGGCTATGTGGCTGGACTTTAGCCACGGTTTGAGTCCCAGACCTGGCGGCTTAAACTCACGCTGGACGCGTGTGCGTGCGTGCCCAAGATCCCGAGAGAAGAATGGAGGAGAAGGGATTGTGGCGTGGCCATCCCCTCTGGGGGGGGGGGTGATTTCTTGCTTTCTGTGTCTCTCTGTGCCTTTCTGGCTAGCACACATGCCCTATAGCAAAAACCTCTCCCAATAAATAAATAAATAAACAAACAGTAACAAGGGTGACATCGGTGCAGTGCTAGATAGTCTTTGGGCAGGTGTCCCGCAGACGCAGTCCTTGGGTCAGGTTGCAGTGGTCTTTGTGCAGGGCTGATTCTGGCAGAGCTAAGTTACGGTTCCTGTGACCAGGCATGCTAGTGTGAGAAAACTCCTCCAGGGCCTTCCTGGCTCATGCAAGAGCCTTAGCACCGTACAGGCTGGCTGCGCTCTACGGCTGAGACGGACAGCCTAGAGGGCACCGAAGCACGTCACAGACACCGGAAGCAGTGCGGGAAGAGGGTGGGAGGAGAGAGAGAGTGTGAGGAAAGACATGAAGGAGGCAAATAGAGGCAAGACATTTCCGGGACACAGAAATGGACGGTTATCTGTTGATGATAACACGTATAAGTATCCCCACGTAACTGGGCTGGTGTGGAATATATTCATGCTGGAACATTCTCTTTACAAGCCAGGTGATGCGCAGTGACTGCATGTACAAAAGAAATTAAAATAAAATATATTAATGAAAATAAAGAGCGTCAGCACAACTGGACACAAATGACTCCATTTTGATCCTGTGAAGCTCCCACCGTTATTTAAGATGTGTTCTGAACTTTGTAGTTAAACTAGAAATTGATAGCTAAAATTTAAGCAAAACAAAACAAAACAAAAATAATTTGGATTTTTTTTTCTAGAGGGTATGTATGTCTCTCTCACTGGAGAGAGAGAGAGAGAAACAAAGAGAGAGAGGAAAGTGAGAACGCACCCCCAGGGGAGTGATTGCACTGCAGTTCTCCCCTGTTCTTTTCCTGGGATTTTGAGCAAACGCACACAGCATGCTTGCCAGGCCGCCGGGTTCGGAATTTGAACTGTAGTTAACCATGTGGGATCCAGCACCTTAGTCACCAGGCCACAGGCTGGCCCATTTGCAAAACTGTAAACACTTTCCTAAACAACCTTCAAGAGGAAGAAGAGTTTCATTCCTCATAAATGCTGAGAGCTCTGCCTTTTCATGAGCGGTTTCGACTCACAGAGGCCACTCCCTGGCGTCCGCAGGCTGCTGCGTTCGTGAAGATGGCGTTTTCAGGGACCAGGAACAGCCACGGGGAAATGTGACATGACTTCAGAACAAGGCAGAGACTATGCTCCCGATTAGTTCAAAAAGGAAACGAGCCATTTGGCAGTGACTTCGGAAACGTACAGACTGTTCAGATGTACTTCTTTCTATTTTGCTATTCTCAAGTTTTAGACAATGGATATGTAGTTACCCACTGGACAACACGGTGTTCTACGAAAAACATTTGCAGCTACAGTGAAGCCCAGGACGTGCTGGTCTGACTGGGAATCCAGGCGCCCTGGCTTGGCCTGGGGAGGTCTCCCCACCCCTCCCACCATCCAGCCCGAGCCTGCTCAGGTGCGTCCCGCTCAGGTGCGTCCCGCTCAGGTGCGTCCCGCTCAGGTGGGTCCCGCTCAGGCGCGTCCCGCTCAGGCGTGTCCCGCTCAGGTGGGTCCCGCTCAGGTGCGTCCCGCTCAGGTGCGTCCCGCTCAGGTGCGTCCCGCTCAGGTGCGTCCTGCTCGCCTCCCAAGGACCGCCTTCCTGCTCATCAGTGACTCTGAAGGTCTTAGCAAGTCATAACGAAATTCAAGTTTTTCTTCTTCGGATATTCTATCTGGACTAAAACCAAATGAACCTGTGGAGATTCGCAGATGAAGTCTTTTCCTTGGAAACCACTGGGGTGACCACAGCGCCAAGGCTGTTTTCGGGGATCCTGCCTTCCCTCTCCGCCTCCCCCTCTGTCGATAGTATGTGAATGGAGAGGGCTTCTCCAAAGGGACAGAGAGGCCTAGTGCAGGAAGGCGGCAGGCAGACAGGCACGGCCTCCACTCACCCGAGGTCGGTGAGGAGCTGGGGAGAGGGGACTTCCAGTGTGAGCCCGAGAACCCAGAGTATTTGAAACTCAAAGACCAACTCGGCAGAACGGGCCGATGGCTGGAGGGGTGTGGGGACCTCAGTCAGGGGGGCCTCATGGCCTTCGATGCTTTGCCTCAAGGGCAATGAGAACCTATGGGAACACCGCAAGTGAGCACCAACAGGATGGGACTTCGTCTTAGAAGGTGGCAGCATGGCTGCAGTGCGGACAGTAACTAAGATGTAGGCTAGACCGGAACTGTGACATCCACCAAGGGGGCTGATGGGGAGGTGGCGGCAGAATTAGAGAAAACTGGGCAGATCCAGGAGGCAGGAAGGATGCTGTGTTTCTCAGTTGGGTGGTTAAGCCCCCCAGGACCCAGCCGGCAGAGCCTGGAGACCTCTCTGACTGTCACCTGGAGGGGGTGCTACCGGCATGGAGGGGCACTGCTCAATACCCCCCACCAGGATAGCCCCTCAAAGAACCACCTGGGCCAGGATGCCAGCAGTGTTTCAGGCCGCTCCCGGGTTAGCAGGATGGAGGGCAGGTTGTGTGTGAGGACGGTCTCAGGTCCCAGCTGTGCACAGGACAAAGAGGATGCCCTTCACCGAGGAAGGGGACAGGGGGTGTGCCGCTGGGGCAGCGAGGGTTGGATGTTCAAGGCCTGGATAGATCAAACCCAGTGTTTCTTCCTCGGGATTCCCTGGGGAGCACTAAGCCCTCAAAGCTGCTGATTCCCATCAAAACATCCAGGATGCTGCCGGTCCTACAAGGCCCCTCAGGCGGGGACTGTTTGTTGAACAGCACTGCCCTGGGGGCCCTCAGAGGCACCTCCTGCATTCAGGGGTAAACACACAGTCAGATGCAGAGATCTCTCTCTGAGGGTCTGCAGAGATAGACAGTCGTCTGTCCGCAGGAGCTCCGTGTGGAGCTCCGTGTGGCTCCGTGTGGCCGGACAGCCGCGGACCTGGCACAGCATCAGAGAACCTCCCTCGGACCCCTGAGGCAGCTTCCAGCTCTGCCCCAGTGACAGCTCACAACGCAGGGTCCAAGGAGACAGGCAGGCTGTGACAGCGGAGTCTACTGTGTTCCCCACGCCAGGGACACGCCCGGGGCTGCTCACAGCAGCTGAGGAGGGGAGCTTCTGGGATGAACAAGCGTGTTCCCAGAACAGTGGGTGTCGCTTCCCCTGGGGACGCTGAGTCTGACCAGCCCACCATGATCTGGACCTGGTTTCCCCACAGTCACGTGGCCCAGGAGACGGGGGTCTCACCAAAGCCACTGCTTAGTCACGTTTCCAGGAAACCACGGCTCCCTCAGATACCTCGCGTGGCCTGAGTCATAACCAGAAGTGACGTGTGAGCTGATAAAGGCATCGTTATTCGTCTCCGGCGGCCAGCAACCGCTGTTGTTTTACGTCTTGGACATGTTTTCAGTTCTGGGCTGGGTTTCTGTCTCACTGTCCCATTTCACTCTGCGTCTGTGGCGGAGTCAGCCCAGAAGTCAGGGCTCAAGGGAGGGCCTGAACCATGATCTACTGGATAGCCACAGGGCGTCTGTCCCCCTGGGCAGCCCGATGGCGCCTTCCGTCTTGAAAGCCACGAGAGAGATGGCTATGGCTGAGGGAGACGGCTATGGCCAGCGTGCTTCTCCAGCGGGAGCTCCGAGCTGGGCGCAGATAAGCCAGCCCCGGGAGTCGGCCGCGGTCAGGTCAGCCTCCTCTTCTTGCCAGCCCTCTCTGCTCAGTTCCCCTGCAGCCTCTGCTGGCTTGAGCCTCTATTGTCTCTCAGAACTCCGCCCGTCTGGTTCCCAGGGCGCCAGAGCTGGCATGGAGGCCCTTGGAAGGAGGTTTTTCAGGCAGCGTCCTGGGGCCAGCTCTGGTGAGGGAGGGGAGCGGAGCCCACTGAGATGCACTCAGGGAAGGCGCCCTGGAATACCCCACAGCAAGGGCACAGTGCAGGGAATGGCTGCAGAGAAAAGTCTCGGGAGGAAAGGACGAGAAAACAAACGGAACAGCGCTGACTTCGGCCTCGCCTGGTTGTCCGTGTGCAGTCGCGGGCACCGGCTGCCCTGCGCGCCGCCTCTGTTCATGGCCCGGTCCGGCGCTCCTCCGCCTGCCGCGCACGCCCTAGCCCAAGCCGCTGCGCAGTGCGGCCTTCCCTCGCTCCCTGCAGTTCATGCATCAGCGCGTTTATCAGCTCGAGGCCCATGATGACTTAACTGATCTTTATTCTTTTATTTTTCAGAGGTTTTTGCCAGAATGCATGTGCACTTGCCAGAGAAAGAAAGAGAAAGAGAGACAGGGAAAGTGAAATCAGATAAGTGAGAAATCACTCCCTGGGGAATGACCACTGCAATTCCTTCCCCTCCCTTTGCCTCTGGTGACCTTGGGCACACGTGCACATGCACCGGGTCTGGGACTCGAAACGCGGGCAGCCATGTGGGAGTCCAGTGACATAATCACTGTGCCATCTGCTGGCCCCACGATCACTTCATGTAGAAGGGCCAAGTGCTGACTGCTCTCTCCGCCCTCGCCTCATTTCCAGTTACCCCTGTGAAAGAAGCACCCAGTTCCCACGAAGCAATTTCCAGGTCTCTGTCCTGAGCTCCCAGGGTGTGGTCTGGGGTCTCTGAGACCCCACATCCAGCTTCTGCCACACGCAAATCAAACCAGGACGTTACAGCTACAGGACTTTAGCCTGCTGTCCCAGGTATTCCATTGTCCCCCTCCTCTGTGTGACATCCGTCACATGCAGGCAGGACCTCCTGAGACCACATGCCGCACCAGGACATTCCACCAGGCCCTGAAAATGGAATCGTGGCCTAGGTAAACTGTCCTGTGTGGAGTGCAGCGTCTCCTGTGGGAGTGGGGCAGCCTTCTGGCCCCCTCTGTCCCTGCCTCCAAAGTCTTAATAATAATGCCTGAAGACGGCCATATTTTCCTCTTGCACTGGGTCCTGGGGGCAGAACGATGCCTGCCAGGCTTTGTGACCCCTACGCCCACTTACTCCCTGCTGGGCCCCGAGCTCACTCATTCATGTATAGATTATTTACCAAAAAGTTAGGGGCACCTGCGTGTGCATGATGCAGTCGCGTCTTCAAGGAACTGTAGCCCAGGAAGGCCAAGAGGAGACAACTCCCCATCGGAGTGCAGCCTCCCCAGGACTAGTGTGAGTCAACCCTGCAGGGGGGATCCAAACTGAGTCTTGACCTTCATCCCAGAGTTTCTCAGGTAGATGGGGACAAACCGGGTGTTCTAGAAAAAATGAACAACATGCCGTGAAAGTAGAGGCTGTGGAGAACCGTGTGCACCCTGATAACCTGCAGGGAACCCCGTTGGGGTCATCACTTGCTTTGGAGAGTTCCTTCTAGAGGAAGGCTCCTCCTTAGGTGGGGCGTTCCGGGAGAGAACAGGCAGGAGAGCATTACTCAGCCCCTCTCCCTCAGTGGCCAGGCTGCCTGCCCCTCAAAGGAGGACAGAGCTCGGGTCCCTGCACTTCTTCCCCGTGCAGAGGGAGCGCTGCCCACTGCGCTGCTGTGCACACACGGCTGTTCATGGCTGCGCACCTGGACCAGCTCTCTACGGTCAGTGCTGTCAGGGCAGAGCTCGCTGTGGGCCCTGCTCCTCCGTGTTCAGCTCAGGGAGCTGACGACTAGGCTCCCTCGCAGTCCTGCCAAGACTGCGGGGCACTCCCTTCCCGGGGCTGCTGGGTGCCCCCAGCATCGTGAGTGGAGGGCCTGGAGTAGGGCTGAGAGGGAACGCTCTATTTGTCTAATGCCCTAGTTTTCCGGGTGAAGAAACTTAGGCCATGTGACCTGCTCAAGGTCACACACCCCACGGGGGGAGGGGGGGACAAGGTCAGAAGACAGGACCTGCGTGCGGGCATGTGACCAGGGAAGTCACACCGCACCTACCCTGTGTGGGTTCCACGGTCGGCTGTCACTGCTTTGAAAGTCTTAATAATAATACTTGGTTTTGTTTCTTAATTAATGTGTATGTGTGTGTGTGTGTGTGTGTGTGTGTACACACACATTTAGTTTGCTATAGGGCTCGTGTGCTCATCAGAAGCAAAGAGAGAGAGAAAGTGAGAAATCACTCCCCCCCAGGGGAATGGCTGTGCTGAAATTCCTTTCCCTGCATTCTCCTCTCTTGGGATTTGGGGCACCCATGTACACACATCTGACGTGCTTTCAGTCTGCCAGTCGGGGATTCGAATCCCGCTGTTGATCATGTCGGATCCAGCGTTGTAACCTCTATGCCACCCGCTGGCCCTTAGTAATTTTGAAGCAGCCCCGTATTTTCCTTTCTTGCAAGGCCCTGCAATGCATAGTTGACCCTAGGGGCAGAACCAGTGTTAGGACTCAGGCCCACCCAAGTGAGGGCAGGGCATTTCCCCGCCACCCCACCCTGGGGCTAAACGCGGGTGACGAGGATGCTGAGCAGGTCGCTGCTGTAACATCAAAGCTAAAGCCAGAGTTCATCAGTACCTTTTCCAGCTTGTAAATCCCTGGTGAGGAACATCCCAGCTGTCCTGGTTGCTGTGTTGTCCCACGCACAAGCAAGAGAGAGCTGTTTTCCTTCCAGTAAAAAGCATCTCCTGGGACTCTTGATTGCTGTCCTTCCTGGGGCTTCTCTCAGAATCACTGAAGGTCAAATTGCCATCCTGGACTGGAGAGAAAGAAAGGTCAGGAGAGCTCTGAGAGGCTTAGGGAGAGCGCACCAGGCGAAGAGAACCTCTGTGAACCTCCTGGGAGCTGCTGAAACTCAGACATCTACAGCCGAAGCCTCCCCCAGCTTTATCCCACGTCTTTCTCATGAACACGGCGACACCGCTCTTTCTGGGGTTACGGGGACGGAGGGAAGTGTGCTTAGCCCAGTGACGTGCTTCTTAGGTGCAGCAGCTAATCTGCAGCCAGGTGTGAGGAAAGGGGGCCGTAAGTAGATCAGAGCTGCCTCAGGGATGGCTTTTCTTGACAGCTTCCACTGCACGAATCCCCTGCATCCGGAGCGCCATTTCCTCGCATCCCGTCGCTGCAAGCTTATCTTTGTGGGATTATTCAATCGAGAATGAATCGTGATCTCACCACAAAGCGACCCGCTTTCCCACCAGCCGAGACCCCTACAAAAGGCTGGTGGTTCAGAGAGGCCCAGGGAGCCTGTTGACCTTGTATGATCTTGTGTTCCCACCCAGTGTCCACGTATGGATTCTGGTCCAAGAACAAGGTTATTGTCTGCATTTTAGAGCCACCATTGTATGATACCTGCCTCTTCAGTTACACCTAGCTCGTTTAGTCTTTGGGCAAATAAGTGAATAAAAAACATTAGCAGTAAAAAGATAGACAATCACTGGGCCAGCAGGTGGTGTGGTGTTGAAGGTGTTGGATACCACATGGCCAACTCCGCAGGTTTGAGGGCTAGACATGCCAGGCACGTGTGCATGCATTCTCAAAATCCCGAGAGGAAAATGGAGGAGAAAGGATTACAATATAGCCACTCTCCAGAGGGAGAGAAAATTCCTTGCTTTCTTTCTTTCTTGTCTTTTTCTGACACTTATGCCCTATAGCAAAAAGTCTGTTTTAAAACATCTGCTTACACACACACACACACATACAGCCACTAATTTTAAAGTAAAGTATCCAGAAATTAGTGTTAAGGTTCAAGGTTAACGTAGCCGGGTCCCACATAGTCAGTTGTACTGTTGGGGTCCTGGACCTCACTGGGTGCATGTGTGTGTGTCCCAAATCTTGAAAGGAGGGAGGGAAGGGGAAGAGATCACAGCAGAGTGGTCTCTCTTGGGGGGTGTTTTCTCACTGCCCCCTCCCTGCACTCGTGGTCTCCAGTGAGTACACGCATCCACTGGCAAACTAAAAAAAGAAAGAAAAAAAAAGGAAATGTTAGGGTTCTTAAATAGTTCATGTCCTAGGTCACCCCTTAGAAGATCCAAGGCTTACAAGATTTTCCATACGGAGGGGACTACATTCTAAACAGGGAGCTGGGTGTAGGCCTGATCTCACGAACCTCCGAGAGCGAACAGAAGGCGGTCGCTGAGGTGCTGGGCAGGTTAAGGCTTTTCCCACTCGAGATGTCCCTAGGCCCCCTGCTAGCACTCAGAGGAAAATGAAAATCGGTGCCTGGTGCCTGCCTGCTCCTTTCCAAAGTTGTTTCAACATGAGGATTTATTTTTGCAATTATATTTGATTGACATTAAGTCTCTATAGTAGGTCAGCCACTTAATGCCATAACATGTTTCATTTTCACAGAAATGTTCTATTTTCTGAGGACATGGGGTTTCCCAAGGCAACTGACACGAAATTCTGCAGTCCTCCCTCTGAATTACCGGGGGGCTAGCGTGACTGTGGGTGCCAGAATGAGAGGTACCTTCTCCGCGGCCGGCCCCTGCACCCTCTCAGTCAGGGGGTTCCTGCTATTTGATGACGCCCTGCTGAGGCCTGCAGGCTGTCTGCATCGCAGGGCCTGTCTGGGCATCTCGGCACCATCTACTTCCAGACCGTTACTGTCACCTCCTAGACTCAGGGCAGCTGTCTGCTGGCTCGGGGGCATGCGGGTAGAGACAGGGCCGGAGGCGGGCGAGGCCCCGGCTGTCGGGTCTGGGCGTGTGCAGGGCACCGGCGGTGCAGCGCGGTGACTCACTCTGCCTTTCCGTGGACGAAACCTCAGCCACCACATCTCGTGCAGCATGGTCACGTGACATGTCTCTGCAGAGCCTCTTCTCGGGGAGTCAGAGGCCTGGAGCTTAAGAAACCCAAGGGGGTGGGGCGGGGCGGGTGCCAGGCAACAGACACTGCGGGTATCAGGCGGGCGCTGCGCTGTGTGCCATCCCGGGTCCAGGCTGGGTTTACAGACAAGCACGCAGCCCGGAGAGAGAAAGGACGCGGGGTGAGGGCGGCCTGGCCCCAGCGCCACAGGCTCTGTCTTCCCCATCACCCCAGTTCCCAGGTTGCTTTCTCTTCCAGGGGCCAGCGCCCTCCGTCAGGAAATTCCCGGCCTCCCCCCTCCCCCCCTGCCCCCAGACCCAGGCAACGGGTGGAGGGGAGGGACGATTGACCAGGCTGCTCCCTAGTGGGCTGCCCGGGCAGGCAGGCGGGCTGGGGAGCTTCCCGGGGGCAGCTTTCCTTCCCTTCCACCCAGCTCCCACTCCAGCGCCTTACCTGACCAGCCTGGCTCCACGCCCAGGGGGCATAGTCCAGGGAGCAGGGGACAGACGAGGAAGGAGGCCTGGCTGGGGCCTGTTGCTGGGGTCTCTGTCCCCTCCTGCCCTCTTGCTGTGGATTCACGTGCTGTTCTGAGGGACCCGCTATCCTGGTCTGCCAGGAGGTGAGGTCACTGCCGGTGGTGGTGTCCTGATGGTGGCAGATGCAATGACACGAGGGCTACTCAATGGGCCCAGAAAGACCTGGTTCCGAACGGAAGTGTGAGGAATATGCATGGGAGGAACTTGCCATTTGTCCAAAGGAAATGCACAAGGAGAAATGGAGAGCAAGAGAGACTGAGATAGAGAGACAGAGAGACGGAGACAGTGACTGAGAGAGAGAAGGAACCATGAGCTGATACAGGGAAGGGTCCCGGAGGGCCGAGTCCCCTATGAGAAGCTTCTGCTCTCACTTCACCTGAACTTGCTCCCTGCAGTTCAGGTAAAGTGCAGCGAGCCAGAGCCGGACCAAGGAGCAGGCTGGACATCCGGGGACCTCCCGGGCAGGCCACCGAGCCCTGGAGCCTCGGCTGTTCAGGTCAGAACCTCAGTCAGTCGGGAGATTCTGAATGGGTTCTCTTTTGTAGAATTATTGCACTAGCTAACCCCAAAAAGTGTGTTTGTGTGTGTGTGTGAGAGAGAGAGACAGGGAGGGAGAGAGAGAAGCAGGGGGTGGAGAGGGAGAGAGGGGTAGGGAGAAACACACGTGCACGTGGGAAACACTAATACAATGACACCTGGGCCTCTTGGGGCCTTCCTGTGATGCCTTTTTCTCCAACTTGGAGGGCAAACACAGCTTCGCTTTCCTAGGTAACGTCACTACGTCTATATTCCTGGCCATCGTACGGGTGGGTCTAGGACCACCGAGTGATGCTCACAAAATGAGTTGTACAAAGAAAAACAGATGGAGGCCCGGGGAGAACAGGCGGGGCCTGTGGGCCGCACTCTGGGGTCAGCTTTCCCAAGAGCTCGCAGGCCTTTCTGGGACAGCCAGGAGCGAGCTCTCAAACGAATTCTGGGAGCCCAGGGCCTCCCAGGGGAGTGTCTGGCATTGGCATGGAGGGGCAGGGCATGGGCCTCCCACAGACACGTGTCAGGAAGAGTACCTGGGATGTGTCTGCCTCTGCGCACTCAGCTCGCTCCTGCTCTGAGAGGTCGAGTCCAGCTCTGACAATAAGGGCTGGCCAGTGGACAGGTCCAGGACGCAGCGAGAAAGCAGGGCCCTTGTCAACACACGGTCAGGCAGAGCTAGAGCCTGTCCTCGGGTGGGAGCACCTGCCCAGCAGTGGCTCTGTCGGGTGTGCCCCACCTGCATGTGCTGTCCCCCAACAGTGCATCCATTGTCCTGGAGCCATTCTGTTCCGGTCCTAGAGCCACCTGGAGGTCCCATTCCCGTGTCTTCATGATTAGGCTAGTTCTCAGCTTTCCTCTGCCTGGTGGGCGTCAGCTCTGCAAGGTCTACTTAGGCCAGCAATCACTGTGCCCACCTCTCCAAATATTGCTGTTACCTCCTCTGCCCCTCTGGGTCTCTCTCTGGCTCTGTCTCTCTGACCTATATCTCTCTATCTCTGTTTCTCTGTAGTTCCTCTGTTTCTTGGACTCTTCCTGTCTCTGTCTCTGCCTCTCTCTGCCTCATTGTCTCTCTGTATCTCGGTTGCTCTGGCTCTGGCTCTCTGATCGCTTTAGCAGAACTCCACTGGGCGATGTTCTGGAGAGGACAGAAAGCACTCGTAGTCTAGCTCCCTCTCTCTGGTCATTCTTTTCAGTCGTGGTTGCCAGTTCAGGTGGTGAGATCCCTTTGACCAGGTCTTCAGCCAGGACCCCCGTGCCCCTGTGGCATGAGAAGTTTGTTTCTGATGGGGTCAGGCACAAGTGGTCTATGAGGTCGCTGGAGTGTGGATCTCCCCGTCCCACTCCCTGTTCGCATTCTCCTCCTGACTTCACAAAGGCATTCCATGGAGTCTCTTCTTACAGGACACCTCATCTTAATTCAATTACCTCTGCAAAGACCCCTCTTATCTACAGCCAGGGCTCCAGACTAAAGGACATTTCGGTATTGGCGTGGGTCCTGAAAAAGTGAAGTCCAATCACCGGGTAACAAATCCTTTTACAAGGTGATACTGGTTTCTTTCTTTCTTCTTTCTCTCTCTCTCTTTCTTTCTTTCTTTCTCTTTTTGAGAGAGTTTTTTTGCTATAAGACACATGCACTTGCCGAAGAGACAGGGAGAGAGAGAGAGACAGAAAGCAAGAAATCACCCCCCGGGGGGATGGCCAAGCTATAATCTCTTTTCCTCCATTCTCCTCTTGGGATTTTAGGCACGCACACACAGGTTCCCAGCATGAGTTTTAAGCCACTGGGTCCAGGACTCGAACTGCAGTCGACTGTGTGGGAGTCCAGCGAGGTAACCATTTTGCCATATCCTGGTTACAACAATAGTGGTTTCTAAATGTTCACTTTCAACACAGGATTGGTTGATCAATCATTATTATTATTATTATTTTTTTGTAAAAAAGCACTGCATATTTTTGAATGTAACTCAGAAATAGTTCAGAAAAATTGAGTGATACTTGTTGAAAACAAGGAACAAAGAAACCTATTCTGATCTCACCATTTATGTGAACAAAGACAAAATTCTCCATGTTGATGGCTATAAAAATGAAAACCAGGCAGAGCTTCTCTCCTGAAGTCTGACTCACCCTAGAGGTAGAATACTCACACTCAGACTGTGAACTAATTGAAAAATGGAGGGGTCCCACCTCTCTTGTTAAGAGGTACATTTATAGATTCCTCCTTTCTGTTTACTATTCGTCCCTCGAAATGTGGGCTCTGTTTTGATCAACTGTGTGTGGCTACGATTGGAGCAATCATATGACCCAGGGGACATTTGGCACCTAGGGCCTTGTGGTCACCTGATCTTAAAAACACACTTCAGTTCCTGCTCATGGACACATTTGTTTTTGATCCAGAGACGTTTAATCAATAACGTACTTTCAAGCACCGAATGCATTGCATCAGATGAAACTCTGGGGATGAAAACAGGGGTTCAAAGAGCAGAGGAGGATGTGAAATTTCCAACTGCTGAAAAGCGTCGTGGCGGTTTCGGTTGATGGGTGATGGTGTGTATGAAACTGCTTTCTACTGGGTGAGATATTTAAAAGAGCAACACTGTTGTTTTGTTTCCAAACGTCAGTAGTTAAAGTCTGCTGGAAATGTCATCTTCTGTAACTATTTACACTTCTCGGGAAAATCAGTAACTTCGAAGGAGCGCGGTACACCTTGCCCAGGTGTGCCAGTTTACAGAGCTCGGTTGTGGCTGTGTGCCACTGTCCCAGGTGCACTCCCAGAGCTGGAATTTGGTAAGGACTGGCAACAGAAAGCCCCTCACGGCCACATTTGGGCCCACCTGTTGATGTGTCGAGACCTGAGTCCATGCCGACCCTCTGTGTGTTCCAGTGTGCACAGAGGGACAGGGCTGCCCCATTCCTTGCCCTCGTCCCATCTGACTCCTGCCCTTAGTCTCCAGGATGACTGAGATACAGCGTCTGGCCAGTCTGCAGGTGTCTCAGGGCCTGTCCATCACCACTCCTCGTTTCACGGGCACCGCTCTCTGGGCGCAGCCAGGGCACCTTCCCTGCGTTCATCTTTGTCTGTTTGCTTTTTTCTTCCTTTCTTCCATGAGCAAGAGAGAGAGTTAGAGATGGAGAAATAGGTACCCCAGTGGGGTCTTCACACTGCGATCTACCCCCAGCCTCAGCCAGCCGGGGTTCAGGGAGCCTCTAGACCTGAACCCAGGACCTTCCCACATGAGTCCATCTTGCAGAGCGCTGTGTTACCACTGAGCCACAGACTGCCCCTGCCCCCACTATCTTCACAGCACCTCTCATAGGCTATGGTTGTCAGGGCAGGGAGAGCTTTTATCCCTTGAGAGCTTCCCACTTCCTTTCTAGCCCCACTTAGCATGGCATAGTGTCCCCATTGCCTCACTTTTCCCCTCCTTCTAAGTGTACTGTATTAGCTTCCCAGAGCTACTGTAAGCAAGTACCCCCACCTGGGGGCTAAAAGTCGCAGACATTTATGAGCCAGCTGGTGGTGTGGTGGGCGAGCCTGCTGGAGCCCACGTGTTATGCTGTGTTCTTTGAGTCCCAGACTCAGTAGCTTGAGAGATATGCCAGGCATGTGTACATGCCCAGAATCCCTAAAGGAGGGAGAAATGGGGACAGGATTGTGGCAGGACCATTTCTCGTGGGGCTGGGGGAAGAGGCTTTCTTCTCTCCCTATCTGTCCGGCCGTCTCTTTCTGATGAGCACACATTCCCTCTGGCCAATTAAAAAATAATAAATAAAATAACGGAAATGTACAGTCTTGGTAAATATTTGCATTAATTATGATCCTTGGCACATGGTACAATAGCGTCGATCTGTGACATCTTTTAGTTCCTTTATTTATGTGTGCACTCTAAATGGACACACCTGCACTCACCAGCCAGTCCAAGAACCAGATCGACAATTGCCACTTTCATCTGGCTGCAGGCCCCACCCACGGCCAGCCCTTCCCCAGCTTCCATCCGGAGCTTCGTACTGATCTCACCTTCCCTTTGGGGTCCAGAGGTGCGGATCAGTTGGATGGACTATTACTCCACCTCTCTCCCACAGAGACTGCTCCTCTGAGTCCTCCCGAGAGGACCGCACGTCTAGGGATAGCACACGGCCCGGACCAGGGAGCAGCTCCCGATCAAAGCCACTCTGAACTCAGGCTCTGCCCCTGATGATCTGAGCGATCATTGCAAGACAGGTGAACTGCAAGGTAGGGAACAGCTGTGCCTGTGTGGTCGCAGTCCTGCCATGTATCAGCGAGAGAAAGGGAAACAGAGCAGGAGGCACACAGGGGCTTGGCCTTAGTACAGTGGTGATGCACCTGGACCTGCATGGGAAAGGTCCTGGGTTCACGTCTTGAGACCACCCTGAGCAGGCTGGGCATGTACAGATGTGCCCATGGTCTGGGCTAACTAGACCTAGGGCACCTGTCTCGCTGCCTGTCCCTCTATCTCTCTCACAGAATAAATAAATAAACTTCAAAAGAAGAAGATGACCGCACAGCAAAAATCAGGGGAGAGGAAGTAGGCGGCTAGCCAGATAGTGCCGGAGAGTGGGAGGAACGACCATGCAGTCCCCGAGGGCTTCCTCACCCGACTCCAGGATCTCTCAGGGGTGGGGCATCCGCTCTTGCTCTTTGTCAGAACTTCCCTGAGTGGGAGGCTGGACCTGACAGCCAGGTGATCAAAGGACACGCCGCAGGTGCGTGGTACAGAGCCACATACACCCCGTCATGTACACACACTCACTCGGGTCAGTGCAGTTCTGAATCTTCTGTCTCTAGGGATCTTTTGTCTCTATGGCTAAGTCTCTGGGCAAAGTGACAGAAGCAGAGAGATTGTGGAGTGGAAGAACAGCCCTGGCCCTGCCTCTCGGCCACTTAGGAGCTCTTTCCGCTCTGCAGATTTCCTTATTCTCTCTGATTTGACCGCCCAGAATACAAGCAATGACTGTTCTCCTTACTGCTAAAACAAAGGAGGAATTCCTCCATGCAGCCAGTAGGCTTGCGGCAGAGACAAAACCCGTGCCAGCCCACCCCGAGCCGACCGTGCCGCAGCCACCGCCACCAGCGCTGTCAGGAGCCATGGATGCCGGTTTCTCTGCTTGTGCCTCTGACCCGTGATCTTCTGACTACAACCAGCAGGGCCTGCTGCATAATTTGAAGGGGCCAGTGGAAAGCAAAAGTGCAAGCTCACTTGTTTGAAAAGTATTAAGAATTTCAGGAAAGCATTAGGCCAGATGCAGGGCCTTCCACACACAGGGCTGGTCACATTCCTGTGACGCTGGCTGTGACACCAGAGCAGGAGCGCATGGTACGCTGCTGCTCAGGGACACACTTAGTTCCTGCAAAGGAAGTCTCCTCAAGCCTCATTGGCACAGTTCCTGCACTACTTGGGAGCTGCCATTTAACACGTGGGATGGGTGTGTGCCCGTGGCATGAGCTGATGGCTGATATGGGGATGGGAGGTAATGGCTTCTCCAAACACCACTGCGAAGGAAGGGTGGTACTGTTAGGTCTTATGGGGACTCGAGAAGCATCAATAATAGGCCAAGTCTTGGACTGGCTGCTGTGATTTTAGGAAGAGGTAAGCAAGACCGATGGTTCAAAGTGAAGCAAAGACTTAGGAAGGGTGGTCCTGATGATTAGAAATGCCCATCAGGCTCAGGGAGGTCCAGACATGATAGAAGGTTTAACACACCACAGCTCAAACTGCTCTGGGTCAAGTCCAGCCCTGGGCTCACGCCAGGGCTGCCGAGTCAGGCACATTCCCGACAGAGCCTTGCAACCTGCATTCTGAATACACCTTCTCGGTGATTCTTGTGCACAATAAAGTTTAAGACCTTCCAGGAAAAAGGAACAGTAAATCTCTGGATCTAACATGGTCAACTGTGCAGTTCAAGTCCAAGACTTGGAAGTTCGAAAAATACACCAGGCAGAACCAGTCTGGGCAGGCTTTAGGTTGAGTCCA